GGGAAATGACCCAACGACGAGAAAAACGACAATATCTTTGGATTTCATTCTTTTGACGAGCGCCTGATTTCACCACGATGGCTTACCAATACATTTGCAGAGGAGAGTATTTCTCCTGCGAAATAGAAGAATTTGAACAAATAAAGGTTAGAATGGCTTGTGGCTTCTACTGTGGCTGATAAGACCAGTTTCTGGCAGAGAAAAGTTCGCTACTTTTTTAAAGTGGGCAGCCTGTGGGCTTCTTTCTTGATTTCAGCATTTCTTATTAGTGAAGCATCATATTATCTGCTGCCCGCTGTTACTGCTGATCTCCAGCTGAGTCTGTCTGAAGCCAGGCTTTTCCAATTGAAAGTATCTATGTGGAAGTCTTTTAGAGACATTTTTAGAGACAACGATAGCAAGCGGTGCCGGATTTGACTTCGCACAAAGTTTCTCGGCCTCAAGATGTCAACGTTTTCACTGCTTTAACTCCTAAAAGGGGGTGCCCATTAGCGCGATCGGATCGGGTCGGGTCGGGTGGTCGGGTCAGGTAGGTTTTTTTTTTTTTTTTTTTTTGTGGTTTCATTGCACACTACAACCCCGTCGCGATTGTACCCGACGGCCTGGAGGTTAAAGTATAGAACCTTTAATCCCAATGGCTTCCCAGGGCTCCTTTCCGCAGTTCCCAGTTTCAGTGCTGTGCCAGATTGGAATCCCATAAACATGGTTTACATTGATAACTTTCTATAATCAAAGATTGTACGTATGTTATTTTCTTCTCTAAGTCGATGGACTCCATTGTTGTCAATTGTTGGTGGTATTTCGCGCATTGAAATGCCCGACCTTGACATCACATTGTCAACATAGACACTTGGCTCAGCCTTGTTGTGATTGGCTGCAAAGCACCCGATCGCGCGACTCGCAGGCCTGAAAACAAACGCGTTTGTTTTTGAAGGTCGCCGACCGAGTCGATCGGTTTGTGCCACGATGGCCGCTTTGCGTCCTCAATTTGGCTAGCCCCGACTACCAAATCGACCCGACCCGATCGGGCTAGTGGGCACCCCCTTTAATTTCCGGACCAAATTTGATGAAGCAATGCAGGGTAGTACATGTATAAGAATACCTAGTGCCCATTATCGGATCGGCAAGCCGATCGCCAATCGATTGAGACTGCGAGTCGGGCGATCGGTTTGTGCCACGATGGTCGCTTTGCCACTTCAATCTGGCTGGCCTGCCTACCAAGCCCAACCGAACCTGTCGTGCCAATGGGCAGCGCCATTAATCGACCCGACCCAACGCGATCCGATCCCGCCAAAGGGCACGCAGTATGAGAGCAAGGAAATTGGAATGATAAACTCCAAATCTTTGTAAAACAATGTAAGTGACTTAGCATATGGTATGTAACTGACAGCAGAGTAACAGTTGAGTACAATTGGAAAGTGGAGACAAAGTTCTGACGGTGCTCATTGGAAAGAGCCATAGATTTATTAGAATCTAGATCTAACCTTCCATGTTAAGTTTTTTATGTAATAATTTTTGTTTTACTAATCCATCTGAAATTACGTTCCTGCATTTTTCAGTGTCGTTTTTTAAATTTGTAAAATATATTTTGGCTAATACCAATTCCAACGTAATATCTATCAGCCACAACAACTCTCAGTGACGTATCGGCTGACGCAACTACACAACTCTCTGTGACATATTGACTTACAGGATACTCGTTGGAACTACCATAGCAGACACATTTGGGCCTCTTCCTAATCTTTTAATATAATATGTGTAAAAAAATTATTCAACCAAATTTCCTTAAGAT